GTTTACCACATAATTGTCTCAAATGAGGCTTGATTTACTAGTGCCAACTTTATTCTGTAAGGCATTTTCCCACAAATCTTGGGACAATCTAACTCGGGACACAAATCTTGAATGGAGTACAGAATATTCTTTATATCCTACTGCAGATTCGTTTACTTACCATACTTAACACTTGGTGAATATATGAGTACATGATACTCCAAGAACTGCTGTGTAAGCTACTGGTACCTAATGACACCCCTAGTCCTTTTATGTTATTCCCTACTGCTGTGGTGTCCTGTTATGTTATACCCTACTGCCATGGTGTTCAACATGCTAGCCACTAGCCACAAGGCAATTTGGCCAGTTAAGTGGGGCTATTTGGGCAGTTGAGTGTGGCTAGTTCACTAGAGCAGTAGCCACACATAGTGACTACTGTTTCAGAAATAACTAAACACTATGGCCCTACTGGCTCATATGTGCTTGCCTTCTAGTACACTTCTTAATTAGGCATGTTTATTAGAGTGAGGATATACAGGGTTTATCATCCCAGGTACCTAGGGACATCCTAATGATGCATTTGCAACCGATGTCCCCTTGCTGACCCAAACACTCAGGTCACAGAATTGTGTGTATGTGGGGGCGGGGGGAGGTTGTTTTGCTTTAAAAAAGAGTGAGAAAAGCTTGAGCCTTCTGGGAGAGGAGGGGATAAAGAACCTGACCTCTCCTAGAGCAGGGGTGGGGGGGCAACTGGCATGTCAGACCTTTTAATCTGGCCCTTGAGCTGCTGCTGGGGAATGAAGTCAGGGGCTTGTCCTGTTCCATACGGCTCCCAGAATCAGCAGCAGGTCCCTCCTCTGACTCCTATGGATAGGAGCAGGCAGGGAGCTTTGCACGCTATCTCGGCTGTAAGTGTCAGCTCTGCAGCCCCCACTAGCCAGGAACCGTAGGCGATGGGAGATGCTGGGGTGGTTCCTGTGGACAGGGCAGTTCAGAGCTGCCTGGCCTTGCCACCACATAGGAATGAAAGGAGGGACATGCCACTGCTTCTGGGAGTGCTTGAGTTATGTGCCGCCTAGAGCCTGCACTCCTGACAATCTCCCATGCCCCAACCCCCTACCCCAGTCCTGATCCCTCTTTAACATCTTCAGTCCTATACCTGAGCACTTTCCTGAACTCCAAGTCCCTCATCCCTGGCCCCATCCCAGAACCTGCAACTCCAGCCAGAGCGTGCGCGCGCTCTCTCTCTCTCTCTCACACTCACACACCCTAGCCCAGAGCCCCCTACTGCACCCTGAACTCACTTCAGTCCTCACCCTGGAGACAGCTCCCCCAGCCAGAGCCCTCACCTCCTCCCTCATCCCAGTCCCCTTTAATGGGCATCTATAGCCCACCATACGACTTCCATACCAAAGTATGGTCCGAGGGCCAAAACATTTGTCCACCCCATCCATAGAGGATTCTTGCCTATTCTTTAAAATGAATGGTACTGATGTGCATTAACCATAGACACTCCTGTAATGTAACATGGCAACCTTGGAAAATAAAAACATACACAGCACCATTGATGTAAGTCAGCCCAACCAGATTCTCTTAGATAATTCCATGCAGCAAGCAGGTAGTCTCAATGTGACATTATGATAGTATTTTTTATCCAATATTACCTGCTAAATCTGTCTGAATTAGAAAGATGCCTAAGCTTTTTGGAATCTTTTCTTTGCTCCCTTTTCAGTATACAGCTAATCTCTAATTTTGCAAGTCCATTAACAACTCTGCTGGATTCTCTATCCTAGAAAATCGATCTACAAAAGGAGGGTTTGATAGCAGTATGTGTAAGTTGCATCTGTAAGAAGTCTTTTGAAGCATAATTAAAAAGTTAGTGAACTTACCTGATATCAGCCTTGGTATCCTAAATGTACCCAGTGCTATACAACGTGTAAAATGTAACACATCCTTTTTCTGAAGAACTTATAGTTCAAAACACAAGGGTGAATGTAGAACAAACTGAATGGAGTGTCTGCTTTAAGCTGTTTAAAAAAAAAAAAAGCCTGCAACATGGCCCTGGTTTAATTTGGTACTTGGGAACTGATCAATGTGTTTTTCTGGCTGCATTACATTCTGCATGCTTGCTTAAGAGTCCTGAGAACTTTCTACTTTAATATAAGGGTACAATCTTGTTAAACTGTCCCAAAATCTGATACCATTCTATAGGTTGAACCTCTCTAGTCCTGCACCATGAGGACATGACAGGTGCCAAACCAGGGAATTTGCCAAACCCCGGAGAGGTCAATATTGTCTAGCAGCATTACCAATATTTGTACTGCTTATTGGGCTCTGAGAAGACATTCTGGGGTAAATTTGTGCTAAATAATAGCACAGAACTTTGAGAGCCAGGACTGGTGGCTGTAAACAAACTTTATGGGACAACAGGAAACTTGGCCACACCCATGATAAATGGACATCTGACTAACTAAAATCATGCTGGACTATAGATGTTGCTGGACTAGGAAGATTCAACCTGTTTTAATTTCACTTGTTAACAAATTAGCAGTCTGAATATTTAAAGCTATTTTTGTGGGACTTCAAAGGGTTTAGATTGACTCAGAAGCAGTTAGTTCCACTGAAAGTGATGCTGGCACACTAACCAAGACCTTTGCATAAGAAGATAACAATTTTTAAACTTTTTTTAACTTGAAAAAGTTAATTTCTATTTAAAAATATTGAATATTGTCCTAATATGTAGCTCTACATGTACCATAAAGATGCCCATCCAGGTAAATTTGTTTTCATGCTTTGAAAACAAAACAGAAAAGTACATGTCTTTTTGTACATGTCTCCCACAGTTCTGGACATCTGGGCTGTTCCACTTCACTGCTCAGATCGATATTTTTGCCCTATGTACTCTGGTCAGGCTTTTTCATGCCACCGGATTCTGTTCCTCGGTTGGCAGTAGACTGTTGATGGTCAATTGCTTCAGCCCCTATTCTTTACCTTTTTTTTTCCTATTCACTTTGAGCAATAGGAAGCAGTTTCTTCTCTTCATCTTGCACCTTCCCTGAATTGGTTAATGCTCTAGTTGTTTAGCCCACCCTGTACCTCCACTGCTATGCCTCCCTGTCTATTCCTCTGCCCCTATAAAGGCATAACAGAGCAGCCAAGAAATCATCTGGTCAAAGCCAAGTAGTGCTGCTGAGCTGTGTCCAGACTCTGCCCAACCAACTAAGCCTAACTCTGTTAGGTCCTGGGGTTACAAGTGGGACAGGCGGATGGGATTCCCTTCACATAGCCACAGCTCCAACACGAGAAACATGGACCAGAATCCTAGTAGAGATCAAGATGAAGCTCCATAATTGAGGAGGATTCTTGCCAGTCCACTTGGAGGCTCAGTCTTAAGGAATATATAGAGAATAAAGGGAGATCTGTCCTCCCTGGTTTGACAAGTCCTCCCTGGTTTGACAAGGAGGAGGCCTGAGCACTCTGGAGAAAGAAGCAGCACTTCTAATCAAACTTCCTACCTCCCAATTTGCCCAGGAGGTCTCTGAGTCCCTCCCATTCCAAGGAAAATGAGACCCAGCAGGGATTCAGAGATGGCACACGCTTCCAAAATTATCATCTAGCAGATGCATACCTCCCATCAAATCCATGCTACTGCAAACTCTTGAGGTTTAACTGAAGCACAAAACATCAGTGTCAAACATTGATCAGTTGGCCTGTTTCAACCCCCAGAATTTTTACAAAGATGATAGTAGTGATCATAGACTCAGATTGCAAGGCTAGGGTTGCCAGATATCCAGTTTTGAACCAGACAGTCCAGTATTTCAGCTTTCTGTTCAGGAAACAAACTGAGAAAATGAGAGAGAATATAAATGTCCGGTATTTTCTAACTAAGATGTAATGTAGATTGTGATGTAATGTCAAGTGTGTCCTGTATTTTTGTTGAAACCATCTGGCAACCAACCCTATGCAGGGAACCTACTTCCAGGATGACCTCTTGAACAGAGCTCCACTGCAGTCAGTAGAGCATAAAGCCAAGTTTCTCATACTTAACTGCCTGCAGATTCATGGCTTCATCAATGTCCAAAAAAGATACCATCCACCAGAATAAGTCATCTTGGCACAGACATAGACTCCACCTTACCAAGGATGTCCTCATAAGAGAGGTTTTAGAAAATCTAGGATTCTATAATCTTGCTCCAGGCTTCAGGGAGCTTACATAGCACTGTGCCTTCAACTGCTGGCCTATAAGGTCATGAATAGGGATTGTTGCATGGCCACAGTCACATATCAGTTGTCTTCAAGCCTTCTAAAGATCAAATGTGGATTTCAATACAGGTGATCAACACTCTACAGTGTTATATTGGTGATATGCTTCTGTACTTTTTATATTCACTGGGAATAGCTGCCCGGCAGGGCTGATGTCACTGTTGGCACCAAATTCAAGTATGGATGATCACTTTTCACTGCTGAATTCCACTTTTTAATTGTATACAGTGCCGTAGCAGAACAGTTGGCACACAGTGTCTGATTTCCTGGTTATGCTTTTGTAACCCGTGCACCTTCTGGGAGTGGTGTGCTGTACCATGTAGTTGCACTTTGACCACTTACAGAGAGAGAGAGAATGAGTTTCCACTGCAGCCATAGTGCTCAACCAGTTCTGATGCAGTAGCCACTCCAGTGGCTACTGCTATAACGACCTAGCTACATTCAGTCGGCCAAATGGTCACATTGTTCAAACCAATTAGCCATAGTCAACTGGTGAAATAGCCACATGTGGTTAGCGTGTTGGACACCACAGCTCTACAGGTTTAGCTGAGAGCTACTTGGCTTTTAGCTCAAACTGGAGAGGCTCATGTATTAGGCTCCAGAGGTCCCAGGTTCAGTTTTGCCTGTTGACATCACACATTCATCATTGTAATACTTTCTAGCTATGTGGTGCTAAAACTGTAGTGTCTTGAATTGCCATTAGAGCAGATGTATAAGTGATATAGCTTTCTAGATTGTAACTAGCTGGGAGCTCACTTTTTTTTTATTAGCAGCATTTGCATTATTCACACTGCAGCTATTTGCTCACTTGCTATTCTAATAATCTAGGAAACAAAATGGCCTTGGATACTACTGCTAAGACTAATGTTGGAAAAAGGGTTTTGAGTCAGGATAGAAAAACATTAGTGGAGCAGCAAACCTCTCACTGTATGTATTGTGTTGTGCATGAGACAGTAGTAGTCCCTCAAAAGTGGGATTCACACACGTGCTTTACAAATTACATTTTGGTACCATTACAGCTGTGTGAGTGTGCAGTTTATTATGCCTTAATTCAGATTGTTGCTTTTTTCCCCCTCTAGGTCCCAAAACAGTGTTTTTCTGGGCACCTGTTATGAAATGGGTAAGTCTAAGAAGTCAGTTTGCTGATATTAATGCTTCCGCAGTTCAGAAAACAATTTTCAGCCAACCAGGCATAAAGTGACTCGTTCTTGGCCTGAATGGTCTTGGACTGTGTCATCAAAGGACTTGCTGTGAAGGTCCTGATTATGTTTTTAAAATGTGGAGAGGGTCAGCATGAAAATACATTCATTCTAACACACGTATGACAACAATCTCTAATCTGGCATCCTTGGGACCTGACCAGCACCAAACCAGAGGAGATCAATATTGTCTAGCAACATTACCAACCCTTCCACTGCTTATTAGGCTCTTAGAGGACATTTAGGAGTAAATTAGAGCTAAATAACAGCACAGAACACTGAGAGCCAGGACTGGTGATTGTAAACAAACTTTATGGGATCATCGGAAACTTGGCCATACTCAGTGCTTTTATTGTGATGGTACTGCCGAGTACGCAGTACCAGCACCTCCAGTTAGAGCTTACTTGGAAAGAACAGAGTACTGGCACCTCTGTAATGAAAATGGCCAACAGTCAGCTGGGTCTTAGAGCACCGGCACCTTTTTTTATTTTTTAAACAAAAAAAAGCACTGGCCATACCCATGGTAAGTGGACATCCAGCTAACTAAAATCATACCAGACCACAGATGTTGTACTGGACTAGAAAAGTTCAAACTGTAGTATAATCTCTTTAAAAAACACTACATAGGTAACTAGTGAAATTTAATTACCATTCAGTAATTCAACTTCCTTCTGTTACAAAATTTCATGGTTTGAGTCTGCATGACAGGTTTATAATGCTGGGTTCACAATGCACTCTTGGACCTTGTCCATGTTAGCCTTTTAGTCCATTGTTGGCATTGGCTCTGTGTCAAAAATGAGCTAACTAGTGTTTGTAAAGAGGTACCTTTTGAAAATATTTACCAGCTTTCAAGCACCTTATGTCCAAAAGTCAGTTCACTTTTCCTTTCCTTGTCCTTTGCTTTAGTTTGGCATGGGTTGTTTTTTTTTTCTTTCCTCTCTCGGTAGAACTGTTTCATGCATAGCAGCAGTTTAGTAGATGCAGTAGGCCTGGGCACTGTAATGCTGTACCTGGCTTCCTGTGCTTCCTAGGGATGTGAACGACTAGTCAGCTGTCCGATAAACAAATGCTTATTGGATAATTGACAGGCTAGTCGACTAGTTGCTTCCCCCTCCCCCTTGCTGCCTCTATCAGAAAAAGGCAGCAAGCAGGGGGAAGAAGCGGGATTGCTTCAAAGCAGAAGTGCCACATGGAGCCTGGGGCCAGACCCCACACTCCACATAGCGCTGCTGCTTTGAAATGCTGCATGCAGCCCAGGGCCAGCTGGAGGAGTCCCCCACCTGGCCCGGGTTGCATGTGGTGTTTCAAAGCGGCAGTGCCACTTGGAGCCCGGGGTCAGCTGGGGACTCCCCTGCTGGCCCTGGGCTCCATGAGGGGTTACAGCTTTGAAATGCCACAGGGGAGCATGGGGCCAGCAGGGGACTGCTTGAGTACCCCACTGGCCCTGTGCTCCCTGCAGTGCTTTCACCTTTGAAGTGTAGCAACAGCCCTGGTTGAATTGCATCGACTATTTGATTAGCCAAATTGAAATTTTACATCCCTAGTGCCTGCATGACACTGCTTAAACTGATATTGGAAATGTATGTAGTTTCTGATAACAAAACTGACCATGTTTTTTCCCCTGTATGGCTGTGAGGAGCTTGCTTTATTAATTTATCTTCACTAGATGTGTTGAAACTATATATTCTCCTAGATAAGTCCTGCATGGCTCTAATAACATATTTTATAACATAAATCATACACATGATGCACTGAGATGACAATGAGGCTTCTGGCTTCAAAAGCACACAAGACTATTATGCAAGCCAAACAAGTCCATAGTGACAGTAATACTAAGGTTTCATCATCCTTTACAGTCAGATACCAAACAAGACTGATATAGTGATACCACAAAGACAAAATGGAATAACATACTGGCTAATGTCTATCTTCTTTTTAGATAGTTTTAAGCAGCCCATTGATGTTTATTTCTCACTTTTCTTCAAGACATGACTTATAGCTATTCTTGAAATAATTATTTTTCCAGTATTTTATTTACCTTTTTGTAAAGCTTTTAAGGCATCCGGCACCATACATGCAAGTGACACATTCTGCTGCTTTTTTTTAAAAAAGTACGTCTTTAAAAATTAGGTTTCTATTTAGACAAGTTCCTATGGAAACTAATTTTTATCTTTGGATTTGAAAAAAAAGATGCTACTACTGGGGATGTTAATGCCCAGGGCTCGACAAACTATAGAATCCACTCGCCCATTGCAAGTAGATTTCAGCTGCGTGCCCTGTTTACCCGCAGCGCGCACCTGTGCAATGCGGCTCTTGCGCACGTACAGTGTGGGGCTGGCGAGCGGCTTTCGCCACTGTTTGTCAAGCCCTGTTAATGCCTACTCAGTTAATCGATAGGTGATTGCTTAATATAACTGCAAAAAACCCTCCCCCACAGCATGCTCTGCATTTAAATCTCGAACTAGCAGGTTGGCTCAGTCCCAGCTCTCTGGTCCGAGTTTTAAATGAAGAACATGCAGAGTAGCAGCCTGATACCCTTGTATTGTTGCCTCTATATCAGGGGGCAGCAGCAGTCCCTGTCTGCCAGGGACCTGGGTACCAGAGCAGCCTGTGTCCACAGGGAGCTCAGGGCCCCTGCGCACAGGGGCTGCCACTGATAGTCAACAGCGTGGGGGGGAAGGGAGGAGGGCAGCGGGATCCCCAGGAGTGGGGCTGGGAGCGCACTAGCTGCCAGCCCCGCCACCTGGTGGGAAGCCCTGATTAACCATGTAATGCTAAGAAATTTGTGGTTACGTGATTATTAAAACAACTTATTTCTAACACCCCTTGCTACTACTAAGCTACAATGGTTTGTTGACATATTGTTGACTCCTGTGGTATGTGTGCCTATCTTACACCCCAGGAGCTGGGAATTATGTCATTCTACGGGATGCTCAGCTTTCATCATTATAAAATTTAAAGTTTCTAGCCCTTAGTTCAAGAGAAGCCTAAACATGAACTCTGAAGAGTTAAACAGAAGCTGAATAAAAACAGAGAACATATTGCTTTTTAAAACAAATCTCATGGTTTTTTTGGGGTCCTGATGCTATGTTTCTGAATGCTTGGTAGCTCTGCAGTTGACAGAAGAACTCATTAAACCCAGAATTTTGTGGAAACCTTAATGGTACCTAGATTCAGTAGTAACCTACTTGGCATCAGTGAACTAGTAGTAACTGCCTTTGTAAGTAAACTGCAGTATAGGGCTAGAAGCAAACTATAGGGCCCATGTTCGTGGCATACTAAGAACTCTGCCATCTGTCTTTCATTAAATATTTACATTTTGTGAGAGGAGGGCAAAAATTGCCATGTTGCGCTATTGCAATATTATAAAAAAAGATGACAACTCCATTTTCTGAAATAAGAAAACAGGACTTGCAATACTCATAGACTTTAAGGTCAGAAGGGACCATTATGATCATCTAGTCTGACCCCCTGCACAGTGCAGGCCACAGAATCTCACCCACCCCTCTTAGAATAATCCTCTCACCTATGTCTCAGATATTGAAGCCTTCAAATACGTTGAAGGCCCCAAGATGCAGAGAATCCTCCAGCTGTGATCTGTGCCCCATGCTACAGAGGAAGGCAAAAAACCTCCAGGGTCTCTGTCAATCTACCCTGGAGGAAAATTCCTTCCTGACCCCAAATATGGCAATCAGCTAAACCCTGAGCATGTGGGCAAGACTCACCAGCCAGAAACCCAGAAAGTTCTCTAAAGTAACTCCTATCATCTCTCCATTGACCTATTTCCCACTGATAATGAATGGTCAATTAGTTACCAAGATCATGTTATTTCATCAAACCACCCCCTTATCACAGAATCATAGAACTGGAAGAGACCCCAGAAGGTCGTCAAGTCCAGCCCCCCGCTCTAGGCAGGACCAATCCCATC